GATTCTACGGCGCTTGCAACAGCATAAGGTCATATGAGCGCCATTTTACCCCACCCTTGTTATAGTATAGACTTTCCCGCAGGTAAAGTTTTTCTTTCTTTCTTTTTTTTTGGGGGGGGGGGGGGGGGGCGCGCGCCCCCCAAGCCAGGACACAAGTTTCTGGTAGGTCTCCAAAGATATTTCAATTTTACACATATTCTCTGTTTAGAAAGGCAAACCCTAAGTGTATGATATTTTTCAGGGTTTTTTAGCTGTCAGTATCTCCAGATACGAAGACTGACACTTCTTCCCAAAAGAGTTGCTTGCATTCATACATTGTGGAAATCATGGACACTGAGTCTGGTTTTTTTTCACTTTAGCTTTGCATTTTAGGAACACAAGGAAAAGCATGAAAAATGTGCTGAAGGCTGCACAGCAAAAGATCAAAGTGAAATATCAGTGTCATGTGGAAATCTGACATCTTGACTAAAAAAGAATGCCATATAATGCTAATTGATCTCGAAGGGTTTATTCATGCTTATAACTTGTGTTTGTTTTTTGCTTTTAAGCAAACTAAGAATGTTGTAGTTAATTTTGTAACTTGTAGGACACTGTTGCTCAGATATTGGAAACCTACAGTAAAATTTATTACCTTTTATTTCCTTTTCATGACGTTTAAACGTTTGACATTCATGTATAATTCAAGCTTTGTGAAAATTGGCTGTTGTTCTTAACATTATTATTGGTAAGCTATCGTGCAAATGAAAATTTTCCTTTTCAGTCTATGAAATTAAATGCCAGTTTTTTCTTGAAAATGTCCAGTGTCAGCAGATTTATGTATTGTTTAATTTTTGCAGGCTTTTGGATTTATGACCAGAGTTGGCTTGAAGGCGGACAAAATGGATCACCACCCAGAATGGTTCAATGTTTACAACAAGGTAGGGCAATGTGTTCATCAAAGTAATTATCTTACATCCCAAGTCTAAGCCTACTCTTTCCTTTGGCCTTTTACAACCTCTGCCCCCCTCTCCCCCCACCTTTAACTGTATGATTGATATGCAGTTGGATTTTGACACATGCAGTACATTACTCATGAGTTTGATTATTGGCAGTGCTGGGTTTTGAAAAGAGAAATGGACTCATAGAGCGAAATATCTGCCTGCCAATGCTTTGAAGGTGTAGCGTTCAATGTGGATGTTGGGGACTGGGTATTATTTAATAGTCGACTAACTTTCTAATTTTGTGTACAATACGTGAATACTCCATTGATAACTGCATTTTTCAGTGGGGATGTAGTGTGATTGCAGCTCAGCTTATGTGGGTCATGTGTATAGTGTGTTTCCCATGATGACACACATGTAGTTAATAAATTACTGCTAATTCTGTAGGAAATAGATGTTAATGCTATTTTTACAAAGTGTTTTCTATGATTAGTAGAGCTTAAGTGGTGACCAGCACAGGTGGGAGTGTCATAATTTATGTACAATGTCCCTGCTCTTTTGTGTGTGCTTGTCAGTGCAGTCATGAAATTTTGTGTGTAGGTAGGGTAAGGTGGATGGCAAGTTGATTATATGCATAAGTGAGATATGAACTTATTTCTTGACTAAACTTAGGTCACTGAAAATGAAGTTGCTGATAGTTTCAGTGTTTGTTTCTCTTTTAGTTTATCTCAGTCTTCTTCTCTCTGAAAATTTTTGTATCACGCTAAATTTGACCCTAGATCAAAATAGGATTTTTTAAAACTCTAAATTTTCATTGATTTTAAGCCTTATCCATCTTTAATTTTGATGCAATGTATTTCTCTGCTGTGAGTTACACTATGTTTGACAATTCATTTATGCAGTTGCAGCCATATGTTACACAGGGAATTGACTCTTTAAATATTCTGATTCGTATTGCCCAACCAGCTAACCCATCAGGTCATTAACATTTTATTTCATTTCATAACTCTGTGAACTGTAAGTCTTTTTTGTTTGTGTTTTTGCAACAGGTTCAGATTACCTTGAGTACCCATGATGTTGGGGGTTTGTCTCAAAGGGACGTTACCTTGGCGAAGTTCATTGAGGAAGTGGCTAAATAATTCACAGTTAGACATGAGTCAAATCTTCCCTGGCCATATCAAAATGTTGAATGTGCAGTAGTAATCAAGATCTGTTGTTTGGCAATTTTCTGTTAATGTTGTTTAGAACTATGCATTTAATTGTAGAGCTTTGTTTCCGAGGCAGGAGGTAATTTGTTGTAGAATAACTGCCCTTTGCCATGTTCCACAATGTAGTGGATTATGATTTTCATCATTTGAAGCCAAAACTATTTCCATGATTATAAAGTTGTTGTTGCTAGATAGCTGAATGTTTTAGTTAAAATTGAGCAGCATTAACACTGGTTTGAATGTAGTAGAAGAGTTAAATTGAAGGCCATTTTATTTATTTGTGTCCTTTTATTTGGATGAATGATGATTCCCTGTATTTTACATTCCGTTGTGAATTGCCTAGTGATTATATTATAATCCTGAATAAAATACTGCTGATGTTTACTATCATCATGACATTTATTAAATTTAATCACCAATGAATCTCTTCATAATATTAAGAAAAAAAAGATTTGATTATTTTTCTGTTGTTTCTTTTAAGTGCACATGTTCATTCGGCTCATTGTTTACTTGTTAGCTGTTTAATCTTTAAAAAAATATTATTCAAAAAGAAAAAATGGTTGTCAAATTCCGTATTCTCTCAGATGTGTTCAAAAGTGCAGGTCACAGTTTGCATGTGTTTCAATACCTATGCTGTTCTTTTCCTTTATTTATCTCTCAGAGTCAGAGCACAAAATAACAAATAATTATATCGTTTACTTCGATTTAGTTAGAGGTGGGGAAGGAAGGGATGGGCTAAGATGCACCTAAGTCAAAACGGTTGTGCTTCCCGAGTTTCAGAGTTGCATCTGTAGTCAGGTTGGTATTATGTGACATAGTAGAAACTGCCGTTGCAATAATATTTTTGGGGTCATTTTTGTTTTTCAGTGGCCTTATTTTTTATGACATGGTAATTGTTCTTGGTTTGCTGTTGAGCTTTGTTTTTGATTGGTGTAGTTTCAGAGGAAGAGTGAGGTCTAGAATGCCTGTTTGTGTAATAAGTTTGTGTGGTGACTTTGTTAACATCAAGTAAAATAATAAATCCCAAGGACTTTACATGTGTTTAAAAATCTCAAGTTCTTTTTTGAATGTTTTAAGAATTTTTAGGACTGCTATTACCACTGTACTGTTCAGACCCCGGCCACCACCTGTCTTTCACCTTGAGTGTAGGCTTTTGCGATGCATTTTGCTGCCTCGTCTGTTTTTCTGCTAGCCTCCGGTACATTTTAGAGACAATCTTTTGTAGGTTCTTTATCATCTGACACACAGTAAAACAGATTTTACAACATGCTTTTCAGCAAGCTGTTCAAAGGTTCTTTGCCCACAAAGCAAACTTTTTCCGAAGAGATAAAAAGTATCCTTTCGCGTCTTTTTCGTACTGGAACATTCATGAAATGTCCTTTGATGGCTCTCTAGCAGCCGTAAACTGTTTTCGAAAAAGGTGTTCGTGATTATCTCCACATACTGCAAGGAAAGAAGACATCAGACTCCGTAATACCATGTAACCCGTGGTAGCCTTCTGTTGGTCATGATTTTCATCATATACCCAGTCTTGGCCTAGAAAATGAAACATGTTTAAATTATTTGATTTTGGAAAATTTTAAGTTTATAAAAACTACCAAAATGTTAGCTTTTGCTCCCCTGTGAAGGAAAAATAATGTAGCCGCCAATAAATGTATCAAACTACCAAATGATTTGATGAAACTTTCTGCAGTGGGTGGTTGGTGGGTGCTTCGGTGTGGTTTGTTCCTTCTTTCTTATCAAACATCTATATCATCCTTACCTCTCATCCTTCTTTATTGAATATGTCATGTTTGTTTCTCTCGTGTAACACCTCTAATCTTCGGCACTTATATTTATGACCTTATTGTGTTGCAAGTGCCTTAAAACTCTTATTTTAAAAAAGAAGACTAGGTCTAGGTGCTCGACCCCAACATTTACTGGGATTAGAGGTGCACCTGCGTCTGTGGCCTGTGGTGTTGCGGATAGGTGCTTCACTGTCGCACGCAGGAGACCTGAGTTTGATTCCTGAGTGGGGAGAAATGTTTATCGAGTATCACGGGCCTTCTCTGGGATATAGTATCCCTCTCCAGCCCGGGATGGCTTTGACCAGCAGGGTTGGAAGCCCACCTCCAAAACGATGGAAAGTATAACGATGGAAACTTAAAAACACCCACATTTGTTGGGACCAGAGGTGTTCAAAAGTAACAAAAGTAAACGAACCAAGAATAACACCAAGCTTTCTGACACGAGAGGCAAACTGTTGAACCGCCAGGTTATGAAGCCCCCCTAAGTTTTGCTATTCTTTTATTGCTCGTACTTCCCCATGGGACTTTGTTATAAAACTGTAAGCTTGATCATTTTCGTTTGTTGAAAAAAAATTCTTGCTTATTTATTAATCTCATGCTCTCGAAACTCTGCATAGTCCTTCTACGGGCCAGCGACCAAACAATATTTTTTTCTCCAAAAAAATTGAACCTGCAATAAAACAGTTTCTTTATTTAGGCCCTACGTGTATTAAAAACTTTGGCTCTTTGGGTGCTTACTCAGGATCACTGAAAACAATAACTTACAGTAATATAACCTGGTCAACAAATTGCTCATTTTGAGACAGCGACACTACGCTGCCCCCACATTTGAGTGTAAGCATGAAGATTTCCTCCTACGGTTGTCTAGACTCTAGACGTCTCCATGTGAGTCTCGAAAAGTATATTATATTATGTACTCATCTCGTCTGTGTGGTGTTGAGAAAAATATATGTCAACTTACAATGTCTAAGGTGTAGGCTGTAAATCCCCTTTCACTTTTTGACCCTCTTTAGGTTTAACAGAACCTTAGTCTGCTGTGGCCTTTGTGAATATGCTTTTTTAGATTCTGTTGGTCATCCAATGTTTAGACCAGTATGCAAAGATCTATGAAGATTAAACAGCGATTTCGTTTTATCTTGTTAATCACGGCGTCTGGCGAAACTGAGCAAGCTAGATTTATACAGTAGTACCTTAGTACATGGTAGTACATGTTAATACCGTTTGCAGAACGCACAAAATTGAATGTTTGGTAGCGTATAACAGTGTAACAGAGGGGTCTGAATTAGGGATCAACCTCTGTTACTATTCGCCAGATGATGGTTTGCAGGGCGCCGCATTTATATAATATTAATATAAAATATTCTTCTTTACCTTAGTTGTTACTGAACTGTCTATCCGTCTTTCTTTTTCCCCTGTGCATGGTTATAAATTCTGAGTGCTTATGTAAGCACTAATGTAGGGTTACTACCGCGAAATGGGTCATTAATTCCTTCCAAACCTTAGTGTTCAACCTGGCCATTGACTGGGTCATGAGGAAAACACCAGAGGATACATCAAGAGTCATAAGGTGGACCCTCTTCTCCACCCTCGAGGATTTTGACTTTGCCGACGACCTTGCACTACTCTCCCATACCAACCAACACATGCAGGAAAAAACAAACTGACTCCACAAATACGGACGCCAGATTGGGTTAAGAATAAGCCAGAAGAAGACAGAAGTGATGACACTGAATGTAGGCTCCCCAACGCTGATTAGGGTGAACAACACAGACCTCCCTATAACAGACACATTTACCTACCTAGGCAGCATAATCAAAACTAACGGCGGCACAAAGGAAGACACCAGGAACAGACTCGGCAAGGCAAGATCTGTACAGAGAGGCATGATCAACATCTGGAGGAACTCAGGACAGTTTAGTATACAAACCAAATTAAAGCTGTATAACAGCTGTGTACTACCCACACTCCTATACAGAGCTGAATGCTGGAGGATGACTGATCATGACAGTGCCAAGCTATCTTCCTTTCATACGACCAGCTTACGCCAAATCCTCAGAATCTTCTGGCCCGACAAGATTTCCAACGCAGATCTGTTACGTAAATGTAGGCAAGAGGACATGACCACCATAATAAAAAGGAGAAGATGGGGATGGATTGGACATGTTCTGAGAAGAGAACCAGACTCTATTGTGAAGACTGCCCTCCACTGGACACCCGAAGGACGTCGCAAAAAGGGCAGACCCAAAGTGACCTGGAGACGCACAGTAGAGTCTGAGATGAAGTCCTGAAATCATTCGTGGGGAACGCTTACCAAGATGGCCCAAAACAGACAGAGCTGGAGATCCTTTGTTGCTGCCCTAAACGCCACACGGCGTAATGGGTAGTAAGTAAGTAAGTAAACTTTAGTGAGAACGAATTGTTGCTGAATTGGCACCTTACACAATCCGTTAACGGTGTAGTAATATCCCCGTATACTACTTGAAGGACAAAGTGTAGTAACATAATAACACTATTGATCGACTATGACTATGAGAGTGAAAACTCGTAATCTCACAAGACGAGCAAGAAACACCAAGTGGCCAAGACTCATAAAATTTACAATAAAATGCGATTTATTCTTGGGAAACTCAGTTTAATTTTCATATTGACAATTCGAAAAAAATATGCTATGAATCTATGAAAAGGGTCGGCTGTTAATCGTAACATGATGGATGCATTCTCCTCAGCATCATCATATTCGTCATCATAAACTTTACCAGCCTCCCTATCAGTATCATTGATCATCATCATCACCATCATCATTGATATATATAAGATTATATTACATTTATGGTCTTTGTGGGAAATTTTCCGTGGCTTTAGACTTACGGGA